AAGGTTTGAACTGTATTAGTATTAATATTAATATAGTTTCAACTAATTCCGTTAGTTACACACTATTTGGCTATGATGAGTTAATATTAATCCGAAATAGTCACATTCGGTAAATTTCAAATTCAGTGTCAAATGAATTTGTGACTTGTGCTTTGCAAATATTATTTGGAAAAAAATATTTAAAAAAAGTAACTATTATTTTATCTGATGTTTTAAAGGTGAGTTTTTATAAAGGACTTATATAATCTAAAGATTAAACTAAATCATCATTAGTAAATCATTTTCCTTCATATCTATATTTTTTAAAAGAAAACACGATCTAATTTTATATAATTTTATAATTTTATAGATCAATAATTTTATATATTTATATTTATTTATTTTATGTGTAATTTTTAGGATGTTCGGTAAAAAAAAGAAACCAAGGCAACCATTAGAGCCAACTAATTCTACTCCTTCACATAGTCAGCTTAGACCTGCAATAAATTCACCAACCTGCTCACAATATCCTCCTCAACAAAACTATCCACAGTATCCTCCTCAAAGAACTCAATCTCCCGAAGCACCTCAAAATCATCAGGATAATTCAATAATTCGCCAGCATAAAAGAAATCAATCTTCTTCTGACTACTGTAGTTCTAATACAACCTCCTTTTCCGATAGTGCAAGTTCTACACGGTATAGTTCTGAATCATCTTTCAGATCATCTGGTGCTTTCTCTCCAAGTGAAATACAGGCATGGGCTGGAAATTATTATAAAGACGCCTTCTCAAAACAAGATTCTTCACGACCTCCTGATGAAGAAGTCGAAGAGTTATTCTTTGAGTTATTGGTGTTTATTAAATAATAATATTAAGACTTAATCAGCTCTTTATTTGTACATGTGTTTACTTATTAATATCGAGTTTTTTATTCTTACTAGAATAAAAGGGATTTAAAAAACCTTCCAGAATCTCAAAGAAAACAAATGTTGGCAATTCCAACTGATAAAAAATGGGTTTTGATAAAAAATGATAAGTTGCAAGAAGGAGTAAGTTTTATAATCTTTATTATTATTTATTAATTTACCAAGTGGTTGAAGATTTTATACATTAATTTTTATTTTCTAAAATTCTCATCCAGGCATCAAATCTATAATGCTCATTTTGAAATTGCATCAATTGATCGAATCCTCCTAATACCAAATTATGGCCAGTCGGGATTTCACAATAACAAAAGAAAGAAAGCACTTCTGCAACAAGTCTACGAGTATTAAGTTGAGATGAAACTAATGAAAATGTGATACTATAGATACAAGTTGGATGAGATAAGGCCTCTTGAGCTCCCCACTAAACAAATAAATAAATAAATTTTAATAAAAATATTTATTATTGTTATTATTATGTGAGTAAAACCTACTCTGTTATTTAATAATAACTTTAAACATTTGATAATCTCATATTCCATTAAAAGATCAACTTCTCTCCTAAGAGAATAAAATTGTTTTATTAATTGTTATAAAGATAAACAATTTAATGAATTAGCCAGTTTAACTATAAACATACTTTACAGGTTTTCTTGTAATACTATTTAAATAATTTGTAAGTACTTCCAACCCTTTCGCGTCAATGAATGATCTGACCCAACTATAAAAAATATA